TTAAGTTAATATATTGAGGTATATAGGTAGTAGTATTTAAAAAATATATATATATGTCGTAAGTGGGAACAGAATTTAAGTTGATTCGGAATTTTTAAGGTTAGGGTTGGGATTTTTAGTATAATTATTTTATTCTAATCTAACTCTACTATTATTTTATTCTAACTCTAATATTATTCTATTCCCACTTACAACATATATATTTATTCAAGAAATAGATATTTTTTGTAAACAATCTGAAAATAAAAATCATTTTAAGGAAATTGCTTCTAAATTAGGTTGGAAAGGTGGATTTGTATGTGAATTTATAGAATTGGAAAGTGAGATTCGAAAAGATAGGGATCAAGGTGGTGGTGTTCATGGTAATGCAATTTTTACAAAACATGAAATAACTTTTCGTGTACTTGATCATAAACATCATCCTTTGGATTGGGAAAAACAAGGTATATCCTTATGCGAACCGAGGAAAGGAAGGTAAATATGCTTCAATACTTTATAAACTTTATTTTATTAAAAATTAGTACAAAATATATATAGATATGTATCGTAATGATCTATAGGAGATTTACTCTGGTTGCTGAAGTTAAAACTCCGTTCGGTCCGCCAATCTTATGCTATTGTGTTCACCTGGAGGTATTTAAATACTCTAGTATCTTTTTTAATCATTAAATAATTATTTTATAATTATTTGAATAATTATTTTATAATTATTTGCAAATAATTATTTTATAATTATTTGTTAATTATTTTATAATTATTTGCAAATAATTATTTTATAATTATTTGCAAATAATTATTTTATAATTATTTGCAAATAATTATTTTATAATTATTTGTTAATTATTTGTTAAGTATTTGATAAGTATTTGATTCATTTTTTTTTCTTTTTAAATATCTATATCAATTTTTTTGGGGTAAAGGTCTTTTGTGGAATAGTTGGAAGAATTTCACAATTTTCCGAGATATTATTAGATTCTACAAATCATATTAATTCACATCCTTATCAACTAATTTTTGGAGATTTAAATACAATGGGGCATTCAATTGCACGATTATCACCCTTATATTGTACAGATAGATATCGAATTTTATCATTAGGTTGTTCAGAATCTGAATGGTGGGATATTAACCTTTTTGATTGGCATATTAATGATGGGGAAATAAATCTTAAATTACAAGCAGGTGGATCATGGATTATGACTAATTTGTTGAAATATTTTTATTACAACAATAATGATAATAATACAAATCTTAACCAAATTTATTCTCAATCTCAGATGAATAATTATATAATGTCAGGTTTTACTTTAGATGTTTTAAGAGCAGCTCGAAATCCAGGATTTTATGATCCTTGGTCACCAGCGAGAGATATTACATTAGCCAATAAAAATTATTTTGGCTTATATTCAGCAAAACTTGATTGGACTTTATTATGTGGGTTTGAAGTTGTTAATCGATGGATTGGTAATGATGATTATTCTGCTTCTGATCATAAATATATGATGGTAGAAATCAAATTTGATGGAGTAGATAAAATTTCAAGTTCGTCTAAGAACAATTCTTGGAAAATGAAAAGATCTTATTGGAAAAAAGAATTAGAAGGTGCTAAGAATGATAATTTGGGAAGATGGTTGAAATTTTTAGGAATTGGAATTAGTGTTTCAATCTTTATTTTTAATGCTCTTCGTCGTCGCTGATTATAGTATAATTGAATTTCTCGAATAAATATATATGTTGTAAGTGGGAATAGAATAATATTAGAGTTAGAATAAAATAATAGTAGAGTTAGATTAGAA